TAAAGACCCCCCCCCTTTGTCCTCTGGTGACCCAGGGGAATAACTCTACACCGATTCACTATAAACCACTGATGTTTTTTATACAGGGAAAACATATCCCCCCTTATGTTTTATACAGGGTGATCAAAATCCCCCCCCCCTTTTTATTATACAGGAAATCATACCCCCCCTTTTATGTATTAACAGGAAAACATATCCCCCTTATGTTTTATACATGGGGATCATAAAACCCCCCTTATGTATTTATACATGTGATCAAATCCCCCCTTATGTTATTATACAGGGAGATCATATCCCCCCCCCTTAATTTATACATGGAGATCATACCCTCCTTAGTAAGTTGTGGCCAAAATTTTTAAACCCCCAATGCTGAAAAGGGGGTTTTGGGGACTAAGTGTACTTTTGGAATTGTATTCCAATCAAACCTACAAGACTTGTAATAACCCAAATGCAACAAATGACATCAATTGTTTATGTAAATACAGTAGTAAATGTTCTTATGTGTTTTCTTCATTGCCACAATTATTTCAACCCCCTTAAAGACTACCACTCTGAAGAACAATTCTACAGGTGCTTTCCATACAGGTTATGAAAACACCTGTGGATGTCACCGACAGCAATCAATATATTAATTTACTAATAAGCACCAATAGGCAGCTTTTAAAATGACTCTGATAACTCACTCCTTCTAGACATTTACTGAGTGGGGTTACAAACATGTGAAGGCAAGAGAATGGTCCAGAAAAGACAAGAGAAGGTGATTTCTCTTCACAGAAGGCAATGGCTATAAGAAGATTGCAAAAGATGTTAAACATACCAAGAGACACCTTAGGAAAGCATCATTCGCAAATTCAAGGCAAAGGGCACTGTTGAAACGCTACCTGGTCGTGGCAGAAAGAAAGATGCTGACTTCGACTGCTGGTGCGCTACCTGAAGCGTAGAAGTGGGAGAGAAGTCCCCGTTTGTGACTGCTGAGGAAACTGAAAAAATTTGTCAGATGTGGGTACAGAAGTTTCAGCCCCAGACAATAAGACGCACACTGCGTAATGAAGGCCTCCGTGCCAGAACTCCCAGGCGTACCCCCTTGCTGTCTCCAAAGAATAAGAAGAGTCGACTGCAGTATGCCAAAAGCCATGTGGACAAACCACAAAAGTTGTGGGATAGTTGTTCTGTGACTGATGAAACAAAATTAGAACTGTTTGGCCCATGGATCAACGCTATGTTTTGGAGGAGGAAGAACAAGGCCTATGATGAAAAGAACACCTTGCCTACTGGGAAGCATGTGGAGGGTCAATCATGCTTTGGGGCTGTTTTGCTTCTGCAGGTACAGGAAGCTTTCAGCGTGTGCAAGGTACCATGAATTCTCTTCAGTACAAGAGATATTGGATGGAAACGTGATGCAGTCCGTCAACTCACACACCTGAGGCTTGGAGAACGTTGGACCTTTCAACAGGACAATGATCCCAACATACCTCCAAGTCCACTTGAAGCATGGTTGCAGAGGAAAAGCTGGAACATTTTGGAGTGGCCATCGCAGTCACCAGACTTTAAATCCAGATTGAGAACCTCTGGTGGGACTTAAAGAAAGCAGTTGCAGTGCGCAAGCCTAAAATGTGACTGAACTGGAGGCCTTTGCCCATGAAGAATGGGCGAAGATACCCGTAGATCGCTGCAAGACACTTGTGTCAAGCTATGCTTCACGTTTAAAAGCTGTTATAACTGTAAAAGGATGCTGTACTAAGTACTAAGATTGAATTCTCACTTGGGGGGTTGAATAAAACTGATAATGCTGTGAGCACAAGAAAAGACATTTGTGGTTATTTTCATTAATAACTGTTAATGTTATAGATTTGTCTGACCTACAAGTGCCTCCCTTTAATGTAAATGTAAGCAAGATGACTGAAATGATCAAAAGCAATGTCAAAACTGGCCAAAACACTCAATTTCCAGTGGGGTTGAATAATTTTGGCCACAACTGTATTATACATGGAGATCATATCCCCCCCTAATGGAAGTATTATACATGGGTAGATCATATCCCCCCTTATGTATTATAAATGGAGATCATAATCCCCCCTTATGTATTATTACATGGAGATCATATCCCCCTTATGTATTACACATGGAGATCATATCCCCCCTTATGTATTATACATGGAGATCATATCCCCCCTTATGTTTATTATACCGATGGAGTGTTATACCCCCCCTTATGTATTATACATGGAGATCATATCCCCCCTTGTATTATACATGGAGATCATATCCCGGCTATCCCTTGTGTATTATACATGGAGATCATATCCCCCCCCCTTAATCTTCTCAAGAGAGAGAGAATAAATTCAGTTCCTCTGATCTTTCCTCATAGCTGATCTCCTCCATGCCTCTTATCAGTTTGGTTGCCCTTCTCTGTACTTTCTCCAGTTCCCCAATGTTCTTTTTGTGAATTGGTGCCCAAAACTGAACTGCATATTCCAGATGAGGTGTTACTAATGATTTGTACCGGGGGAAATTATATCTCTCTCTCTCTGGAGTCTATACCTTACCTAATACAAGAGAAGATTTTGCTCACTTTAGAAAGGGATTAAAGTTGGATATTATACTTGCCTTTCCCTGACTTCGTTCCCCCTGGACCTAGGTGAGGGTCACATCATCCTCTTTATAGCCAGATCTCAGAGAACATGATCCTGCACTTTGATGCCACAAGATTTTGGCTAGTAGGCATTACCTGGGATCTTGTCGGCTCAGAGGAAGACATCAACTGTGTACTGCAGAGGCTGGAAAAAAAAGGTGAATATATTATCTATCACCCCCCCCCCCTTTCCCATGGGTACTTTATGCAGTATTTAGGGAAGGGGGCTACTATGAATAAACAGACCTTATCTGAGGGGCAAGGCCTACTTTACCGCACATGTTCAGGAGACCAGAAGCGATCTGTACTGTTGGCGGAAGTTATTCCGTTTAGGTAACTGTAGGTGGAAGATGTCCTTGATTCTCAGATTGATGAATTACAAATTCCAGATGACCTTTTCTCCTATAGAAAGCCAAGACGCACAATGAAAAGGAGGAAGAGACGTGTCCCCCGCCAGCACAGAGACTTTACCAGAAACAGGAAGGAGGGAAGCAGAAGCAAGACACTGAAAAAACACGTAAACAGAGGAAGATGGGCAAGAAAAATGTGATATCTAGGGTAAGGCAAAACTCCCTATCACTACTGTGTGTGAGGGGGGGGGGGGGGGGGGGGGGTCTGCATGTTTGTCCTGGCTTCAGAAAATTAGGACCTGCAGAATCAGCCCCCCTTCCCCATGGGTACTTTATGCAGTATTCAGGGAAGGGGGCTACTATAAATAAACAGACCTTATCTGAAGGGCAAGGCCTACTTTAACTGCCGCACATGTTCAGGAGACCAGAACCGATCTGTACTGTTGGCGGACATTAGGTAACTGTGGGTGGAAGATGTCTTTGATTCTCAGATTGATGAATTACAAATACCAGATGACCTTTCTCCTGTAGAAAGCCAAGAGGTACTTTGAGAAGGAGGAAGAGGAGGAGAAGCGTCCCCCGCCAGCACAGAGACGTTACCAGAAACAGGAAGGAGGGAAGCAGAAGCAAGACTGTGGAAAAACATGGAGACAGAGGAAGATGAGCAAGAAAGATGTGATATCTGGGGTAAGGCAAAACTCCCTATCACTACTTCTGTTTGGGGGGGGGGTGTCTGCGTTTTTGTCCTGGCTTCAGAAAATTAGGACCTTCAGAATCCGCTCTGGAATTGCACAGACAACACTTACAACACTTTCTACACACTATAAAACAAAGGAATAGCAAGGCAGTGTCCTGCATTATCACTGCAGTTGTCTGTAGGCCATTTTTAGAATGTACAGCCAATAGGTAAAAATGTAATCTTGTGTTAAAACAGAGGCAACTAGATACATATTTAACCCCTGGTCGCCGACGTCACACAAATATACGGCCTCACAGAACTGGGCTTTTTTTCCGTGGGGCCGCATATTTGCGTACTTGTCTTTGTTCTGGGGAGCGCGCCGCTCTGTGCGCTCCCAGCGCACAGACCGCGGTGTCAATGAGAGCCCCAGGTCCCGTTCTAACAATCGGGACCCAGGACTCCCGATTCCGGGTCACATGATCGCTGTGATAGCCTCTGATTGGCTATCATAGTGATCAGTCACTGTACAGCCCGGCCCCCTTGCTTTTTTCTCTCTCTATGAATGCAGCAGAGAGATACATTGTATCTCTCTAACTCCTGACATAGAGAGAGAAAAAAATGTTTAAAAATAAAAGAAGATAAAGAAATATTGAAAAATACCTAGATCAAGGTTTGATCTAGGTCAGTGCCAAGGATAGTGTTTGGGTCAAGGTCAGAGTCAAAGGTCAGGATTTAAAAAAAAAAAAATGCACACTATTGTTTCTGGACTGTACTACGGGTACAAAAAACAATATAACATACACATATATGGTATCTCTGCGATTGTCAAGAGCTGAAGAATTTATTTTGGGTTGTTCTGTGGTGGTAGGTTATGGTAGTAACAAGAAACACACTGCTAAATAATAAAAAAAGTTTTTGTTTTTTTTTACTATTTTGGGCCAGTTTTCCTTTGATAATAAAAAAAATCAGAAGCTATCCATTACCATTTACCACCAAATGAAAGCCCAATTTCTCCTGAAAAAATCAAGGTATAATCCACCTGGATGTACAAAGTAGTTGTGATGATATTGACGGTTTTACTAACACATGTCAACGTTGCAGAATTGTGCTTAGGCATTTAGATTTGTTTTACCCTTAGGCGTGAAGGGGTTAAATGACATGTATAGAAATAGTTTTGTCTGCCTTGGAATTTTGTAATTCTGCACAGCCAGTGTTGTGATCAAACAGCACAGCCAGGTTCCAAAGCTCCACTGCAGTAGCAATACAGCTTGGTCAACAACAAGTCTCAAGAATGCTGATTGGATAGTGAAGGAGTAGCAGTGTACTGAAGATATCATCTCTCTACTCATTGCAATATGTTGTCTGTTGCACGTGTGCTCTGCAGTAGAGTCTGATCCATTCATACCATTAATACCTCTTCCTCTCTGAATACTGCCTAGCAAAGGATATTGAATCAGTTAAAGGAAATCCCATGTAATTACAGAGATAATGTACGCAGCTCAAGGCAGCAAAGGAAATCTTTCCGCAAAGATGCAATAATGTAAAAGTTTTTATTTACTCTGCTTAACTCCTATTGCAGGCAGATGACCCTTTTCCTGGCTTACCCTCCGTGCCTGAAGATCAGCTGGCAAAATATGAGCGGGCGAGGAAAGAGACCCGTGTGAGTATGATGGAAAGGATACAGCCCACATCCTTTCCCTGTGTTTTATGTGATATATACACACAATGGGGAAAATAATGATTTGATTCCCTGTAGGTTTGCCCACATACGAAGAAAAGAAGGGTCTATCATTTTTATCATTGGTGTATTTTAAATGATAGAGACAGAATATCAACCAAAAATCTAGAAAAAAACACAATACAAATGTTATAAATTGAGTTGGAGTTCAGTGAATAAAATAAGTATTTGATCCCCTACCAACCAACCATAATTCTGGCTCCCACAGACTGGCTATGTGCTCATGTGGTACACGGATTAGTTCTGTCAGTTTAAGAAGGTGCTCCTAATGACAACTCATTATGTGTATAAAAGACACTTGTCAACAGAATCTTTCTTCTATTCAAACCTCATCACCTTCATAGACAAGACCAAAGAGCTGTCAAAGGACATCAGGGACAAGATTGTAGACCTGCACAAGGCTGGAATGGCCTACAAGACCATCAGCAAGGAACTTGGTGTGAAGGAGAAAACTGTTGGAGAGATTATTCGCAAATGAAAGAAATACAAAATCACCATCTAAACCATAAAATGTTGCGCTACATTCAAACTAATTAAAGTAAATGTGGAATTCAATAAAATAATAGCAATAATAATAAATATAATAATTGAAATTTGTGCTAGGTGATAACACAAAAATGATAGCAAAACACAAACTTAAATCAATACGCATGTGCATGAAAACCCCCATTCACTAACATGGGACGACTTTGGATTGGCTGTAGGGATTTTCTCAGCACAATTGACATTTCATCTATACCTGGAGAAGAGCTGAGTGGGAATATTATATCCTGAGAAGTGGTTTTGGAGTGATTCGGTGCCTGGAGGATCTGTGAGAGGGATCCATATTGCTCTTTGACCCGCAAGGGTCAAAGTGATGAGGTGAGAGGCTAATCCAGAAGGTGGTTGGATTCACAAGCTCTATCTACACCCAGATACCTGCACGTTTTGTTTTTTCACCTGTGGTCACTTTACAGCATATTGGAAACACAGTTTACCAAATATTTTTTCACCTTTTTCCATTATTGGACCTTTTTTTCACCTTTAATATTCCATTATTGGACTTTGAGTTTGCGTGTATTATTTAGATATATTTCACTTCACATATTTGCACGTGTGATGTAATATATGTATGTGCATTTTTCATGCACATGCGTATTGATTTAAGTTTGTGTTTTGCTATCATTTTTGTGTTATCACCTAGCACAAATTTCTATTATATTTATTATTATTGCTATTATTTTATTGAATTCCACATTTACTTTAATTAGTTTGAATGTAGCGCAACATTTTATGGTTTATATTCACTTGATCATTGGTATATGATTTAATGTTAGCAGCTGTTTGGGGTTCATTTATTATTTTAATTTGTTTTAATACACATTTGGAGCGCAGGAGGGTCACACCATTATTACAAAATCACCATCAATCGCCCTTGGTCTGGAGTTCCATGCAATATTTCGCCTCATGGCGTAAGGATGATTATGAGAAAAGTGAGGGATCAGCTCAGAACTACATGGGAGAAGCTTGTGAATGATCTCAAAGCAGTTGGGACCACAGTCACCAAACAAACCATTGGTAACACAGTACACCACCATGGACTGAAATCCTGCAGCACCCGCAAGGTCCCCTTCCTCAAGAAGGCACATGAAGGCCCGTGTGAAGTTTGCCAATGAACATCTTAAATGATTCCGAAATGGATTGGGAGAAAGTGCTGTGGTTAGATGAGACAAAAATTGAGCTCTTTGGTATTAACTTGACTCGCCATGTTTGGAGGAAATAAAGTGCTGACTATGACCCTGAGAACACCATCCCTACAGTCAAGCACGAAGTTGGAAACATTATGGGGCTGTTTCTCTGCTAAAGGTACAGGCTGACTTTGCCGCATTGAGGGGGCCAATGGACGGGGCCATGTATTATAAAATCTTGGATGAGAACCTTCTGGAGATTGGTCGTGGATGGGTCTTCCAGCATGACAATCGCCCAAAACATACTGCTAAGGCAACAAGGGAGTGGCTCAAGAAGAAGCACATTAAGGTCATGGAGTGGCCTAGCCAATCTCCAGAATTTTACCATTTGCCGCCCGGCCAATAGCCGTTTGGCGGCCGGCAAAATGCTTTAGCTTTCCGGGTGGACGCCGTTTGGCATACTTCCGGGCATGTGCAGTTTTCTCGCTTGCAGAGCAGCGCATCCTGTCACCGGCCGTGTACCTCGGACACGGGCGATGACAGATCTGAGTATCAGCCCCATTGCCGTTGACCGGTACCATGTGACCTGCTGTGACCAATCACAGCAGGTCACATGACAGTTGTATACAATGGATGGCTTCATTCATGCCATCCATTGTATACTAGTATCTAGCTGTGAATGGTCACAGTGATCACATGCACATGTCATGTGATTAGCTGTGGCCAAATCACAGCTAAGCACAAAAAAAAAAAAAACCCTGAATGAATCGATTTCATTCAGGTAAATGCTTGCTTATAGCAAAGTAATTCTTTGCTATAAGCAAATTATGTAAAAAAAAAAGAAAATACTGATCACTTCCCCAAAGTAGTACAATGTTACTATGGTAACATTGTACTACTTTGAACATAGTGAAATATGAAAAAAAAATCTTAAAAAAAAGAAAAAAAATGTAAAAAAAAGTTAGAAAATAATAATAAAAAAAATATATATATATATTTTTTTTTTCATACTGTCACCAGTCAGTGTCCCTGATCACCGCCATGCCAGTTATACGATGACGCTGTACTGCACTGGTGACAGTATGTGAAAAAAAAAAATAGTGAAAATAATTTTTTTGATTTTCCGAAAAATTATGACAAAAAAATACAACTTCAAAAAACTCGCCATTCCTCTTATGAAGTACGTCGGACTGTCTACTCTGCAAAAAGGGGTCATTTGGGGGATATCTGTACTGTTCTGACATTTGGGGGATATCTGTACTGTTCTGACATTTGGGGGATATCTGTACTGTTCTGACATTTGGGGGATATCTGTACTGTTCTGACATTTGGGGGATATCTGTACTGCCCTGACATTTGGGGGATATCTGTACTGTCCTGACATTTGGGGGATATCTGTACTGTTCTGACATTTGGGGGATATCTGTACTGTTCTGACATTTGGGGGATATCTGTACTGTTCTGACATTTGGGGGATATCTGTACTCTTCTGACATTCTTGGCCCTCAAGAAATTAGATTGGCCGTCAGTGCTTCAGGAATGATCAATATTCAGATATATCCCATAGTTTGTGAACTCTATAACTTTCCTACAAACTAAAAAATACATGAAGAAAACGATAAAATTTTAGTTTGGGTACAATGTTGTATGACCGCGCAATTGTCATTCAAAGTGTGAGAGCGCTGAAACCTGAAAACTGGCCTGGGAAGGAAGGGGTAAAATTGCCCGGTATTGAAATGGTTAATCCTATAGAAAATATATGGAGGGAGCTGAAACTTTGAATTGCCAAATGACAGCCAAGAAACCTTAAGGATTTAGAGAAGATCTGTAAAGAAAGAGTGGACACAAATCCCTCCTGAGATGTGTGCAAACCTGGGAACCAACTACAGGAAACGTCTGACCTCTGTGATTGCCAAGAAGGGTTTCTCCACCAAGTACTAAATCATGCTTTGCTTGGGGATCAAATACTTATTTAACTCACTGAACGGCAACTCAATTTATAGCATTTGTATTCATGTGGTTTTTCTGGATTTGTGGTTGATATTCTGTCTCTGTCATTGAAAATAGACCTATGATAAAAATTGTAAAGCCTTCAATTCTTTGTACGTGGGCAAACGTACAAAATGTGCAGGGGAACAAATAATTATGTTCCCCATTGTATGTGAAAACACACACGTCATTGGATTCAGGTGTTCCATTCACCTCCATAGACTGCATGTAAAGACAGGCGATATAGTATATATACATACTGATCACACATTTATTCATTATTTTGTTACAATAACATCTGAAAGTGGGTGGGATATATTAGGCAGCAAGTGAATATGTTGCCCCTGAAGTTGATGTGTTGAATACAGAAAAAATGGGCAAGCATAAGGATTTGAGCGACTTTGACAAGGGCCAGATTGCAGTGGGTAGACAGCTGGGTCAAAGCAACTCGAAAACTGCAGCTCTTGTGGGATGTTCCTGGTCTGCAGTGGTCAGGACTGACCAAAAGTGGTCCATGAAGAAAAACCATCTAACCAGCAACAGGGTCATGGGCAGCCAAAGCTCATTCTTACACATGAGGAGCGAAGGCTGACCAGTGTAGTCCAATCCAGTTGAAGAGCTACTGGAGCTCAGATTGTTGAAAAAAATAATGCTGGTTGTGATAGGTGTCAGAACACACCTTGTTGTGTATGGGGCTGTGTAGCCCCATGCTGACTCGTGTCCACAGCCAAAAGTGCCTACAATGTGCACATGAGCATCAGAACTGGACCACGGAGCAATGGAAGAAGGTGGCCTGGTCTAATGAATCACGTCTTCTTTTACATCATGTAGATGACCGGGTGCCTGTGCATCACTTACCTGGAGAAGAGATGGCACCCAGATGCAAAGCATATTCATCATTGAACCTGCCTGTTTCCCTCACTGATGACTCTTCTTTCTAGCACATCTCCTGCTCTTGTTAGGGCACTTTCACACTAACACTTGCAATCACTCTTCAGAGAGCATTTGATAGGCAGTGAGCAAGTGTTGGATCACCGACTTCTTTAACCTCTTGAAACTCGACAACCCCATGCATTGCACGTTGTTGTAAGGCACTTGGGGATTGACCCCATTCACGTGAATGGGTTATGTTTGGTTGGCATTCCGCCTGCCAAAAGCTACAGGGGATATAATTACTGCCATTGTTACGAAGCAAAGCGTCACGACATGGCATGTGTACACCCCAGGCCACTGTCTCATCAGTTAAAGGAGGTGGCTGTTAAGGGGTGTTAAAAGTGCTTCTCAGCTGCAGGGTTTTCTTACCCCTTAACCACTAGTGTGAACAATCTTTTCCATACCTCACTATAGCCCAATGGCGCTGCAGGGCAGTCGTCCAGTTCTGGGAGGGCTCATGACGTCCTCCCAGAATGCGCTCCCAGCAGCTCGCACCCGGCGCTGTCTGTGATCAGCTGTGTCCTTTGGACACCGTTAATCACATGACATGGTAAAAGGCTGCTGTGATTGGCCCTAACCAGCGGTTAACCGCGTTTAGAAGCGTTTGAGTTTAGAAGCGTTTTTTAACTGTTCCATGTCCAGATGCTGTCCGGAGCCTTTTTTCATCAGAAATGCATGCAAAGCGTTTTCCATGTATTCAAATGGACCCGGTACACCAGCGCAGTCAGTTCCAGGTTTCGCGTGCAGGAAAGAATGGTAGAATGCGCCGCATTATGCTCATGACGGGATCCATAGTGAATACAACCAGAAAAGACCGGTCATCTCAACACATACTGCTCTCTCTGCTTCTGCTCTCTCTGTTTCTCTCAAAATGTCTGAAATAGATAATTTTTTTTACTATTTTTCAGTGCATTCTGGGCATTTGGGAAGGTCTCCTGAGGTTATCTTTTCAAAACGCTTCTAAACGTAAATGCGCATAAACGCGGTATACAAACGTGGCTAAACTGACGTTTTTTAACCTACGTTTCCATCATTCAGAAGAGTTTTCCAAACGCCCCCGGTGTACATGAGCCCTAAAAAGAAAAGGGAAAGACTTAAACTTTATCACATCAATTGTATAGACGTGAATACTGTGACACTGACTGTCTGCTATTATTTTATTAGAGAATGGGCAGCATACATCGCTTAAAGGAACATCTGCAATTTGAAGAGAACAAGAAGAAGACTGCGCTGTCCCAGGCCGCCAGACATGACCTATTACTGCCAGAGGAGGCTGGGTAAGAACACTGTGACGGTGACGGCATGTCCCTCAATAGTCATGTATAATATCCCGAGTAAGGGGGAACCAAGGGATCTCTGCAACATTTCACCAACCGAGGAAGTCTCCGTTTTGCTGATTGAGCTGCTTAGGAAAAATTTCCTTGGGAAAAAATTTGAAAGAAATGAACCAATAGTAATAACTAATTTAAAGCACAGTGGCTAAACGGGCAGCACAGTGGCTAAATGGTTAGCACTTCCACCTGGCAGTACCAGGGTTGTTGGTTCGAATCCCAGCCACGGCACCACCTGCCTGGAGTTTTCATGTTCTCCCTGTGCCTGCGTGGGTTTCCTCGGGGTACTTCGGTTTCCTCCCACACTCCAAAGACATGCTGGTAGGTTAATTGGATCCTGTCTAAATTGGCCCTAATATGTGTATGTATGAATGTGAGTTAGGGACCTTAGATTGTACGCCCCTTGAGGGTTAGGGACTGGTGTGTGTGTGTGTGTGTGTGTGTGTGTGTGTGTGTGTGTGTGTGTGTGTGTGTGTGTGTGTAAAGAGCTGCGTAAAATTGACAGCGCTATATAAGTACCTGAAATAAATAAATCTACAGCGTATTAAACCCCAAAACAAAAATTTTATATATTGCAGCATACCAATTCTTTGAAATGATGGCCGCGTTGGTTTTCTTTTTTTAGTTTTTTTTTTCCCCCTTTTAATGTCACCTGGTGATCTGGCCAGTAAGTCTGTTAGTTTTCAACTTCCCTTAACAGACCAAGCTGTCCAGCAAACATGTCAGAGGGTTGAGACAAACCATTTACCACTGACAGGTGCTTACAATGATCAGCTTTTACCCCTGGTTCACAGATCCGCATTCCTGCGGGCCGGGTTTTGCACGGGCATGAGAGCCCATTCATTTGAATGGACTCCCGTGCCCCGGGACACGCAGGGAAGAAGTCCCTGAACTTCTGAATACGCAGCCCGCACGGGAACCTCGGTTCCTAGTACTGTTGCGATTTCCAGTGCGGGCGGCGTGCCATTAGAATTAATGGCACCCGTCCGCGGGTCCACATTCCTCTGTGCAGGTGGTGCGGCTGCACAGATTTTTGTGAAGATCTGCAGTGGCACCACCCGCACAGATGTGAACCTAGCCATAGGCTAGGTTCATACCTATGCAGTTTGCATTTGATCTGTTTCTGCAGTGATTTTGACACATGCATTTTGCAGTTTTATTTTTTGGCCAACTTGTTGCTGGGCAAAATAAAAATGCAAAAACGCATGAAAAATGCACGCAAAACACAGCACTTGCGTTTTATTTTGCGGTTCCATTGAAGTCTATTTGAGTAAAAATGCAAACTGCTGCGGAAAAGAAGTCCCTGACCTTTTACAAAAAACGTACACGCAAAAAATGCATAGATGTGAATGTGATCCATAGGAAATCATGATAAATGGCATGTACTGCGTTCCTGCAAAATGCATAAAAAAACGCACAGGTGTGAACCTGGCCTGATTCATTTTTGTAAAAACATTTTTGTTTTTTATTGATTTATTGGTATTTAAATAGGAATTATTATTAAAAATTGTCGCAATTTTTGGTTTGTCCACTGTGTTTTGTTCCTTTTATGAAAAAACAAGGGGAGTGGTTTTTTTTTTTTTTTTTTTTTTATTTTGGAAGAACAGGCCCCAGGAATTCTTTCCATAACCCTCAGGAGCCATTTAAAGCCCCCTGCACCCTTAAAATGTCATCTTCCCTGTTGACGTGAATGCATTTGGTCAAAATCTCAGTTTCTGTCCTTTCTAGTCCTAAATACTGTCTTTTTATTACATTGTCCAGGTACCTGGAAGGAGACGAGGGAGAAGATACCAGTACCATAACCCAGCAGGACATAGCGGACGCAGTGGACATTACCAGTGCTTCAAAGGTACAGAAAACAACCCTGGTTCTACGTGCTGAGTTCATATGGTTTTATTTCTTTCACCCTCAATTAAAGGGGCACACAATACAAAAATGCGTACAATTATGTAAATATTGCATAAATAGGTGCTTTATGATATCCAAAAATTTTAAATAAAAAAAGATAGAAATGTCGCGCTGCTAACAAAAGAACGTGATAAATAATCCCAAAAGATGATAAAACATAAATAATAAATACAATTCTTCAAATAATCCAAATGGGTGAAATATCTTCCTGCTGGTGATTGCACCCAAATTGCCAGTGCTGTAAATCTTCAAAATACGTGAATCACCACAGTGAACAAAACCTTCCAGATCTGACGGGCAGGATTTTTGCTCTCCTTTGATTTCTTTGGACGATGCTTTTTATGCTTGGCCTTATCAGTGTCAGAATGCCCGCCGCAGTCCCACAATAAGTCGCTGATCACCACCATTATTAGTGTGTGTGTGTATATATATATATATAATTGTGGGAACTTGCTTCAAATGGTAGAGCTTTGTTAAATGCACACAGCAACTCGCTTTCTTTTTTAAGGCCTTTTTAGCCCACTTTTATTTAAAGAAAATGTTCCATAAAGCTTCCCACACAGGGGTATCCACCCTCAAACACATGCAAATAAAAATTCAGCTTCCTGGCTTGTACACAGTTTTATGTCTGTCTCCTACAGACTCTTTCCAAAATATGGCTCTCGCACACAGCTGGCCAATAGCACACAGCTAGTCTGGCTTCCACCTCTCCTTGGTGAAGCCCTCCTGACTCCAAGGCAGAGACCTCCTGTCTGCCAGGGTGGAGCCCTCCTGACTCCGTCTGCCGGGGTGGAGCTCAGAACCCTGGTTAGGCCTCTATGAAAAGGCCTGCACACACTTGTGCAATCAGTGTCCTGGCCATTCCCAAAACCTGGTCCCAGGATTGGAGATTTCATCCCTCCCAAATCGCTTTGAAATCTCCAGGCTCCAGATCCCAAAATGGACCTTACAAACAAATGAGGAAAGTGAAAATCCACTTTCCTCCGTATCAAACACGTACCCCGGAGCCCCTCAACCTGCCTTGTTGAGAATCCTGGGTGAAATAACCTTTCCACATCGTGACAGATCACCACACTGTCACTATCTATCATATCTATATATATATATATATATATATATATATATATATATATATATATATATATAAATAAAAAATGTATGTATACATATATATGTGTACGTGTGTGTGTGTGTGTGTATGTATGTATATATATATATATATATATATATATATATATATATATGTATGTATTAAAAATCGCAGCATTTGTAGACGCTATAACTTTCCCATAAACCAATTAATTTACATTTATTGGGATTTTTTTTTTTTTAGCAAAGACATGAAGCAGAATACATTTTGGCCTAAATTTATGCCGAAATTTTATTTTTAAATTTTTTTTTTACTGGACATGTTTAATAGCAAAAAAGTCAAAAATATATTTTTTTTGTTTTTTTCTCAATGTTGTAATTCTTTTTTGTTTATAGAGCAAAAAATAAAAAAAAATGCACAGGCAATCAAATACCACTAAAAGAAAGCTACATTTGTGGGGAAAAAAATGGCATAAATTTTATTTGAGTGCAGCATTGCATGACCGCACAATTATTAATTGAAGTAACTCAGCTCCGTATTGCGAAAAATGGCCTGGTCAGGAAGGGGGGTAAATCCTCTGGAGGGCAAGTGGTTAAGGAAAAAAAAATTAAATTCAAATAACTGCAACATAACAAAATTGAAAAAAAGTGATAAAATACTACAGATTAGTAAAAGAATGACACTTTTTTCCACTTCTTTTATTAATCGCTTCCTATAGAAAGGATGGCTTTGGGAAAACACTGACACTGTCCATTTAGCACATGATGAGCTGGTCATAACGGCTATTTATTTATTATTTGCAGCATTTTAACCTCTTCCTCAATCAGTTTGGACCATACAGAATCAACTACTCCAGAAATGGAAGGTGGGTGTGATTTAATGTCATGTCTGTTTTTTATTGTATTGCCTGGGGGAGTATATCAGAGAACGTTGTCTATAATTTCACTAGAAGAACCTCCAGCTGTAAGGGAGAATGTCACCAGCACACTGAGGATCACCAATATGGGTCCAAAGGTTTTAATGAACGATCACATAGTTAGAGCAAGAAGGCAACGTTTCGGAGTCTCTCAGGACCCCTTCATGGTCACATGCCTGTTGAAGGGGTCCTGCGAGACTCCTATTTTTAGCGCAGTACGTGTGCGTTTGGAACCTCCAGCTGTATCACAGTCCCTTTCACCTAGCGAGATGGCAGGCTGAAAGTTTTCTGCTGACGAGATGGGAACATTAGAGTGATATTCCACGTTGCCTTGCTGTAACTATGTGATCGTTCATTAAAACTTTTGGACCCATATTAGTGATCCTCGGTGTGCTGGTGACATTCTCCCTTGCTGATTCTGTTGGTTCCAGCCGACGGTCGCTGCATCACCCATTTATACACACCGCCATTTTTATTGCAGTAACGTGTGCGTTTGGATTGTGCACTTGCACCTCCAGCTGTATCGCTGTCCCTTTCACCTAGCGAGATGGCAGGCTGAAAGATTTCTGCTGACGAGATGGGAACATTAGAGTGAAATTCCAGCTTAACCCAAACTAGCCCTAAGACTGTCCCCCAACCCCCCCACCCCCAACACCCATGCTGAATAGCCTGTGTAAAAAAAAATGATGTATGTACTTGCCTATTTTCAGCCTGCTTTGATCTGGTCAGGTGATTCAGTGGCCACTGCAGGGGGGAGGAGAGAGCACTCAACAACGGCTGGTAAAACCTGGAACGGTACCGTCACCTATAGGCTCCCATGGCCCATCTGTTTTCAGTGCTCCTTGCTCTCCCCTGCAGCAGCCGCTGACTGACACTGGGTGCCGGATCAAAGGAACGGTCCAGAGCCGGCTGAACATAGGAAAGTTTATGCATCTTTTTTTACACAGGTTAGTTGGTATAGGTGTTAGAAGGGAGAGGGGACATTTTTAGGGTTAGTTAGCTGGAATTTTACTTTAGGGGCCCATTTACATCTGTGCGGTGCGTTATCACTCATTTTGCAGTGCATTAACACTCACTAAGGTGCGTTGCATAGGCAGTGTCTCTTTAAAAAAAAAAAAAAAAAAAAGAAAAAAATTTCCGTCTATAGAGTCCTCTGAATACGTATCTCTGGTGGATGGTATATCTGAACTCCGGTGTCTTCAAGCACTTAATCCTCTGAATAAATCCTTACACTTACGTGTGTGTCCACAGTGCCTGGTCCCCCACTGCTCTCAATGGTCCCTCCTGTTAGCCCGTATGTCATCACCGCACCTTGTAGGGATATATGGACTGGCAGATTGAACCACAGTTTGCAGCGGGGACACAGGTACTCCCAGAGGTGCTGAATGCTGAAGATGATGCCGGAGTCCTGACTTGCTGCCGGAGTCCTGACTTGCTGCCGGAGTCCTGACTTGCTGCCGGAGTCCAGACTTGCTGCCGGAGTCCTGACTTGCTGCCCATAGGACAGATAAGCATTCAGAATATTCTTTTGCAGGACTAGTTATTTGTATTCTTTGGGGGAGCAGCAGCGCCGTCACTTTATTGTGTCTGATATACCTAAATTTTAAAAATTAAAATAAATCTTCACTAAGAAGGAAGTTGAGGCGCTTCCATTGATGTCTGGCTGTCTGCAGCTTTAGGTACTGTTTCAGTGGCTGGATTAAAAAAAATTTTGCAGCCATGTGATGTGAGAACCCTGGATCTTTTATCATACGAGGTGCTATCGAAACGTTTTGAGATTAGTTTTCTAACACACCAACAGATGGCAGCACAAGGCTGCACGCACAGTCACAGGGAACACTGACCTTCATAAGTCTCTTAGATTGTAAGCTCCAAGGACCAGGGCCTTCCTAATCCTCTTGTATTGTTGCTGTATTATCTCCTGTTATATTGTAAAGCGCTGAGCAAATTGTTGGCGGTATATAAATCCTGTATAATAATAATAAGTAAGTGTGCCAAAAGACATCATCCTGTGTACACCGGGAGCTGTGCAACTGGTGCTGTTCTGACCATGTGCATTACCACACCTGCCATTTCATCATCAGCAGAAAGTTAGAACAAAGAGTAAATGTGAAATTCTATGTGAAACCCGTACACCCAAGTTTTGTCCCCGTTAGTGATCCTCGACATGAACAAGTGCCGAATGGTTTTGACATTGTTGGAGTTGAGCTGGTTGAAGGTCTTCCTGCTCTCTCTTCGTCTTCCAGTGATGTTGTTCTGCTCTTGACACGCACATGCCACTCAAAACACCTCGAACGACTCTTTGCAGCATTGCCGTAAACTTGTGGAATTATGTCGGACATCTCTGCGACAGATTTGCCCAGTTTCACCAGAATTTCACACTTGCTCTTTCTTCTAACTTGCTGTCCATGATGAAATGGCAGATGTGAGAGCGTACATGGTCAGAATAGCACCAGTTGCACAGCTTCCAATGCACACAGGAGGATGTCTTTTGGCACGCTGACTTATGTGCTCCCTGTGCGTGCAGCCTTGTGCTGCCATCTGTCGGCATGTTACAAAACTAGTCTCAAAATATTTTGATAACACATTGTATTGAAGCTAGAGGATTAGCATGATAGCCAGAAAATGTATATTTTTATTTGTAACTATCCCACATTATTTGTCTTCATCAGGCACCTCCTCCTGGCCGGTCAGCTTGGTCACATCGCCACTCTAGACTGGCAAACCAAGAAGCTGGGCTGTGAGATGAATGTGATGGAGACGGTCAATGATGTCAGGTTGGTTTCTCTTTTAAAACTGTAAAAAGTGTGTATTGTGTAATTTGGTTGTTTGCTGTAGGGGAAAAGATTCTCACCCAGAGAAAATTCAGCAGATAATGAATAGATCAGTGTTGTGTCCAGGGTGAGAGAAGATTCAGCTAAAAGTCCCATTCTGCTTAACTCCTTCAAAGCATATTTTGAGGGTTCCCAGGCAGAGGTAATCATCATATGGAACTTCTAAAATTTTAAGGCAATTATAACACATTTAAAGATTACATTCTACTAAACCAAACACATTTTTTTATTGAATGCATTTGGAATACTGTCTTCTCCCCTTATTATACTAGTGCCCTCTGGCTTCACCTAGGCAGGGGTGTTGTGTGGTTTGCTCTCCCCCTGCCTCTGGGAAACCTACATTACATTCCAGGAATCATTACTTACTACATTCATAAATCCTGTGATATCTTGCCGGATGGCAACAAATTACTTAGTGCCAGATCTCTGCTTGCGCATGTGTAAAATGTGGTGCTCTTCTATTGGGCTGTGGCTACAAGAACCAGGAAGAGGGAGTTGGCTCCCATTGACCAGAGAGATGCAAGAGAAGAGAGCAACACTTGATACTCTGGTTTTGTAAGTACAGTTGGTCAGTAGTGGTGCACCGAAAAGAAAATTCTGATGCCGAATCCGAAACGGAAAATTCAAAATGCACTTGGCCCAAAAACCGAAATGCGCAGTTTTTAAAAAATGAATATATATTTTACTCTGAAAAATGAAATATATATATGTACTCTAATTAAAAAAACAATATATACCCCAATTTTTTTCTAAAATATGAAAGAGGATGTTACGGCGAGTAAATAGATACCCAACATGTCACGCTTTAAAATTGCGCACGCTCGTGAAATGGTTTTGAAACTGCGGTACTAAAAATCTCCATGGGTGATTCTTTAAAAATTTCTACAGGTTAGCAGTGTGAAGTTACAGAGGAGGTCTAGTGTGAGAATTATTGCTCTTGCTTAGACGTTCGTGGCGATATCTCACGTGTGGTTTTTGAACACCATTTACATATGTGGGCATGGCCTATGTATGCATTCACCTCTACGTGCGAGCACGACGGGGGCACTTTAAACTTTATTTTTTTTTATTTAATGTTTTTATTTATTTATTTTTTTTTTTTTTGCACTGTTCCTTTAAAAAAAAATGTAATTGCTTTTTATTCTTATCACAAGGAATGCATGCATCCCATGTAATAGAAATAATTAGTGGCAGGTTCTCTTTAAGGAGAAATATGGGGTCAATAAGACCCCACATCTCTCTTCTGCAATGTAAAGCACTGGATCAAAAAAAAAAAGCATTGATCTAGTGCTTTAAAAAAAAAAAAAATGACCAGAACGGGAAGTGACATAGCTCCAGTCCTCCAATGGCATAGAGAGTGGCGGCCATCTTTCCTTCACTCATCTCTATGCCCAGCACTGGGATCCATGGTTTCTCAGGTAAGGCTGAGAAGTACCAATTAGCGGCGGCGAGGGGCGGGGTTTTTTCGACACCTGTATCTGTGTTTTTTTTTTTTCATTTAAGCCAACGGCCGAATGAGGTGGTTTCGGCCATTGAAGTTTCGGTGCATTGGTCAGCATAAAAAAAAGCACTAAAGATAAAGCGGGAAAAGGACCATTATTTTTATAGCGAGGTGGAAATTGCTCTTTAAAAACATGACAAAATTTACATTGGACAGTGCTCAGGGGTCATGAGTTAAAGTTGAACTCCAAGTAGATATAAAACACCAATTAATGCAGTCATGTAATCAGTGTAAGTAGATATATTTTTTTTTAAATGCAGCCAGTGCAAGTTGCTGAAATTGGTATTGAACTCACATTTTTAAAAAAAAATCACTGACAGGTCTGGTTTTTATGAGATTTTGTCAGCTGTAATATACACTGAGCTGCACATGAGCAGTTCAGTGTACATTTATGGCATTCCTCTGTGTTGTAATGCAAGGCTGGACACAAAAACCAAGAGCAAGTCACACACACTGCACAGGTATGATCAACCAGCACTCACACCATAGTCTCTAAGCTTGTGAGAGACACACTACCAAGTGTAAAGCTGACCTGGCACATCATGCAGCATTCACTCGGCACCCCAAGAAATAACAGAATCCAACTGCAGTGTTCTTGCACTGTCAAAACCTCCACTTTTGTTATCACACAACACACAGGAGCAGGGGCGGACCGACCATTTGGAAACTCTGGCACTGCCCGAGGGCCCAGGGTCAGTAGGGGGGCCCCATGAGATGCCCCTAGTACCTTTTTTTTCATAGGCTTTTTTGAGTTTGGGCAAGGACACAGGGGCCCCATGATCCCCTATTGCCCGGGGCCCCCATGAGTTGTCAGTCCGCCCCTGCACAGGAGAATATATCTGCATAATAACACACACACCAATAAGAATGTGAGTATTACAGCATGAAATAAACACGGCTTTTGACATCGGCACATCATAGAAATATTACATCACCAAAGCTACTGGAAGAAGGGAAGGAAAAGACCTCATCAGAACCATAGTGCACAGGAGATCGTGGAGAAGCCTGGAGCACGACCGACTAATGAGTCCATGCAGCTTCGGCAAAAAATCCAGCGTCAGGGCGTCCCCTCACGCACGGCATGGATTCTGATCTCATCGTCTCCAGGCCTCTCTTAAATATCCCACTTCAGTACCTCTGGCCATAATCCACAATTGTTTTGATTTTTTAGATGCGGTGTACTACCGCTTTGTTTTTCTTGTGTGTTTTTTCAACAAGGGGTTCCAACTTTGATAGAGAGATATTTATATTTATTATTTATTTATTTTCTCATGTAGGACATCCTCTATGTGTATAAACTAGCTTTTTAAAAGATAGTGCATTGTTTAAGAACTGCACTACTGGTATGTCTAGGGCTGGCTGGGGGACATCCTATGAAGGATCACAACTCTTCTGGGTCAAAAGAGGTTTGTGTAGGAGAGTATTTAAACCTTAGTGTCATGTTGAGCCCCGTGGGACTTCCAGTACATCGACTTGAGGGGTGAGGGGAAATGGGCATCCCATTGAGTCAGGTATGAATTTTAGGGTTCAGGTCCAAAACATTTACAATGGGACAACCCATAGCTGGTGCAACAGAGAAGCTTGTGGTGCAGGACATTTAGGGTGTCTAACATTCTTCTTTAGCATATACAACCCCTTTGTGATGTTGCAGGTGCAGTTGAGGCCAACTATACTTCATTAGTTGGCTGCTTTTAAAGTTGACAAGCTTTTAGGCATTTACTGTTTGCCTTGGTGCTCCCATGTTAGAACCTACCTATCTCACCTTCTGTCTGCTTCCCCCCCCCTGTAGGTGGCTGCACACAAATACTATGTTTGCAGTGGCTCAGCGGAAGTGGCTATACATTTATGACTCGCTAGGGTGGAGCTTCACTGCATCAAGAAGTTTAATGACGTTTTACGTATGGAATTCCTGCCGTATCACTTCATGCTAGCGACGTGTGTAAGTGTGATCATTGCAAAATTTGTCTTGTCATGTTGCGTGTGCTCCTTGTGTATCTTGTGACGCCCTGAATTGTGCTTCTCTCCAGAGTTCCACCAGTTTCCTGCAGTACTTGGACGTCTCTGTTGGAAAGGAAGTCTCAGCTATTTTTTGTAGGTCTGGAAGACTGGGTGTAATGTGTCAGAACCCGCATAATGCCATCATCCACTTGGGCCATCACAATGGTATGGAAGATGATGACAATTTCCCATTTGTAGAGTGGGGCTTTGACAGCCAACACATAAATGGCTGCCGCCATAATTTGCAATTCTTTTCCTTATCTTTAGACATCCCTCCACCTTAAAAGTATATAAACAAGGACCTCAAAATTGACTTCTTCAAAATTTCCATTATCATTTATACCCTGCAGACTAAATATTAACTAAAAAAGCTGGTAAAACAAGATTGTGGCTTTTTAGTATGCACAATAAACTAGGGCTGAAACAACTAATCGTCATAATCGATTATGAAAATAGTTGTCAGCTATTTTCATAATAGATTAGCTGGTCAACCATTTAGTTGGCCTGCATACAGAATGCATTATTTGTTTGCATATCAGAAATTACAATGCAGCACACATACAGCTCAGTACACCATCCATATACACTATATTGCCAAAAGTATTGGGACCCCCCCTCCAAATCATTGGATTCAGGTGTTCCAATCACCTCCATGGCCACAGGTGTATAAAATCATCACCCTAGGCATGCAGACTGCTTCTACAAACATTTGTGAAAGAATGGGTCGCTCTCAGGAGCTCAGTGACTCCAAGCGTGGTCCCGTGATAGGTTGTCACCTGTGCAATAAGTCCATCCGTGACATTTCCTGGCTACTAAATATTCCACGCTCAACTGTTAGTGGGATTATAACAAAGTAGAGGCAACTGGGAACAACAGCAACTCAGCCACCAAGTGGTAGGCCACGTCAAATGACAGAGCAGGGTCAGCGCATGCTGAAGCGCACAGTGAGCAGAAGTCACCAAATGTCTGCAGAGTCAATAGCTAAAGACCTCCAAACTTGGTGTGGCCTTCAGATTAGCACAACAACAGTGCGTAGAGAGCTTCATGGAATGGGTTTCCCTGGCCGAGCAGCTGCATCCAAGCCTTACATCACAAAGTGCAATGCAAAGGGTCGGATGCAGTGGTGTAAAGCACACCGCCACTGGACTCTAGAGCAGTGGAGACGTGTTCTCTGGAGTGACAATCACGCTTTTCTGTCTGGAAATCCGATGGACATGTCTGGGTTTGGCGGTTGCCAGGAGAACGGTACTTGCCTGACTGCATTGTACCAAGTGTAAAGTTTGGTGGAGAGGGGATTATAATGTGGGAGTGTTTTTTTAGAGGTTGGGGCTTGGCCCCCTAGTTCCAGTGAAGGGAACTCTTAAGATGTCAGCATACCAAGAACATTTTGGACAATTTCATGCTCCCAACTTTGTGGGAAGATTTGGGGATGGTCCCTTCCTGTTCCAACATGACTGCACACGAGTGCACAAAGCAAGGTCCATAAAGACATGGAGGAGCCAGTTTGGGGTGGAGGAACTGACTGGCCTGCACAGAGTTCTGACCTCAACCCCATAGAACACACTTTGGGATGAATTAGAGCGGAGACTGTGAGCCAGGCCTTCTCCCCCGACATCAAAGCCTGACCTCACAAATGTGCTTCTGGAAGAATGGTCAAACCTTCCCATAGACACCCTCCTAAACCTTGTGGACGGCCTTCCCAGAAGAGTTGAAGCTGTTATAGCTGCAAAGGGTGGGGCCAACTCAATATTGAACCCTACGGACTAAGACTGGGAGGTCATTAAAGTGCATGTATGTGGAAAGGCCGCTCGACCAATACTTTTGACAATATAGTGTATGTTAGTAAGTGCCTTCGAGCTTGTGTGAGGAACAATGCCTCGTGGGACATGTAGTCCTGCGCAGAAGAGGGAAGTGGTTTATAGTGATTCTAAAGGCAGAGGTTTTATGTTTACCTTGCTATAGGAACACTCTATACTACACAACCATTGCACAGAGCAACTATGCAAAACAGTATGCAACACATCTTTGTAAAAGCAGCACACATTACACATTGTTAAGCACACAGTTAACCCTTTGATTGTTCCTAGATGTTAACTCCTTCCCAATCGTTGTCATTAGTACAGTGACTGTGTATAGTATTATCACTGAACATGACATTAGCTGAGGTGATGAGTGTCAGTTACAACCCAGTGTCAGACTGCCCACCGCACTATCGCAGTCCCACTATAAGTCGCTGATCACCACCACTACTAGAAAAATAAATAAATAAAAATTCCACTATATATACACCATAGTTTGTAAACACTATAACTTTCCCACAAACCGAACAATATACACTTATTGGGATTTTTTTGTTATCAAAGACATGTAGCAGGATACATTTTGGCCTAAGTTTGTGAAGAAATTTGATTTATTTTTTTTTTTTTATTGGAAGTTTTATAGCAGAAATGAATGGTTTTTTTTTTTCAATATTTTCAGTCTTTTTTTTTGTTTAAATAGTAAAAAATTAAAAACCCAGTAGTGATCAAATACCACCAAAAGAAAGTTCTATTTGTTTGGGGAAAAAAATGATATAAATTTAATTTTGGGTACAGCATTGCATGACCGTGCAATTGCCAAGTTAAAGTAGCACAGTGCTGAATAGAAAAAATGACTTGGTCATGAAGGGAGTAAAACCTTCCAGAGCTGAAAGCGGAGCTCCACCCAAAAGGGAAAGTTCTACTTTAAGGACTGCTCCCCCTCTCCCCATTAAGGATTGGCACCTTTGGGGAGCGGGGGAGGGAGGGGGGAGAATTTGAGAGGTACTCAAATTTTAGAGGTGTCCTCCCTCCCTGTAGTCTTTTGGGACATGTGACAGGTCCCAGAAGACTACAGGACCATTCATGAAGCGCAGCGCTACTCGCACATGCGCAGTGGGTACCGGGGCTGTGAAGCCGCAAGCTGTCACAGCCGGGTGCCCACACTGAAGATGCCGGCCTCCTGGAATCCAGGACGGCCGGTGAAACGAGCTGCAGGGGACACACCACGCTGGACCGAGGGACAGGTAAATGGCTGTTTTTTAAAAGTCAGTAGCTACAGTTTTTGTAGCTGCTGACTTTTTTTTTTTTTTTTTGTTTATAGGTCGAGTGGAACTCCGCTTTAAGTGGATAATATTCCAATACAGTTCTGTCTGAAAATCTGCAAAACCGCATTTTAGGTCTTTTACATTTTTTTTTTTCCTTTACATAAAAATTTGATCTCTGAGTCTTATGATATACACCAGATTCAACCTCTAATAGTATATACATTTTTTTATGTCTGCTGTTTTCAGTGTGGATTAGATATTTTCTTCCCCAAACAAATAACTGGTTATTGATATTTACCACTGCATATAGATATCAAGAATAAATTGTTTTTTTTTTTAAACTTTACATATTAACTAAATTATACAGCAAACTTTTTTGAGGTTTTTATCCAATTAGTTGATTAATTGAAACATTAATCGGGCAACTAATCAATTATGAAATTTGCTGTTAGTTTCAGCCCCACAGTAAACTATAAAAAACAATATAGACCTGTAACAGTAGAAAAAGAATCATAATTGTCAATACCTCCTATTATTACACATGCTGTTCTGTGCTGGGTTCAGTGGTTCCACACAAAGCATTCTCAGCAGCAGTAAGATGATCTATCAGTAAGTAGATTAGGCAGAGTGGAAGGTGGGGGGGGGGGGGGGGGGGGGTGGCAGTTGCCGGCCGGCATCCTTTCGGTTGTTGCTCTGGCACACAACACAGATGGCTTGCTTACATCAAACCGGCACTCTCCTACCCTGCTGATGTCACATTCTGGCTGCAAATCGAATCATTTCGGTTATCGACGATTTTTATCTTCCTTGATCTTACTTTAGTCTTTCCCTAACTTATCATGCTTTGCTTTTACCCTTTCTTTGATACTATTCTCAGATTACTATATATTGTTTACATTACATTTCCTTCGATGTGCAAGTTTTGCTTTGCTCGCCCTTTGCTTATGTTTGCCCTGTTTATGGATGTAATTCTATTGTCTCCCACTTCTAGGCACCGTCTCCCTCTGGAGCCCATCTGTAAGGGAGCCTCTGGTGAAGATGTTGTGCCACCGTGGAGCGGTCCGATCGGTGAGCGTGGATAAGACAGGAATGTAGGTGTATGAAGGCTTCTTTCCCATTAAAGCAGATCTATAGGCAAAACTTTTTTTTTTTTCATTTTGGATAGAGTAAGGGAGGGTTATAACCTGTCAGATTTTTTTTTTCACTGTGCCCCTGTTTTCTAGTAGGTCACCTACAGACCATTTACCGTGATCTACCAGTGAACCAAATTAATATGAGAATTACGTACACGTGGAAGCAAGACACTGACACTGTTGCAGTTTGCCAACTTCCTAAAACTCTGTTTTATTGAGGAACGAACAGTATCATTTATAGGGCTTATGACGCAGGCAAAGCATATACATTGATTGGGTGAAAGGTCCACTAGGTTTCTGCGTGTTCTTCCATCCGTGTTGATATCTTCCAATCATTGTCCCCAAAAAACTCATTCCCTTTTATGGGGGTTGTTTACATTAAAAGATACTTTTCTCCTAATGAGTCACCAAGGGTGAGACTCCGGATGAAGGCGCCATCTTAATTATCATCATTGTTCTGTCAACCTATATCTGATTGTTTACTTAAGAGAGTAAGGAATTTAAAGAGCAAGAAGCAGAAAGTAGCAAGACTATTAAATTGTCATTTTACTGATCATCTAATAGAACGTGGACTGTCTATCACAATCTACTACACACCCCATTACGGAGATTACCCTTCACTTCCTGTTCCATCGCCAGACAGGAAGTGAGAGGGAATCCCTGAAAACTAGGGAATTCCGTTGGGACCCCCAGGTCACCAGAATCAGTGTCCCCATTGAAAGATTTCCCCTCTATTACTTTTCTGGGGACATCTCAAAATTTGGGATTCTCTTTCACTTTCAGTGATAATGGTAAACAAATAGAGAGGAGGAATCTCCATAACGGGGGCACAGACTGCAGGAAAAACTGACAAGTATTCTAATCCTTCACCATTCTGTAGACACGACAGAAGTAAGTGGGAATCTCTTTTAAAGTGAGGAATCCCCCCCCCCCTCCCTTAGTTGTCACAGCAACATGTGCCTCCATTGGAAGTCTTATCCTTTATTTCTGTTCCAGTGTGTAATGCCTATGAAATGTGTTGGCCTTGGACCCTTTGTTTCTTGGGTAATTTTTACAATAAAGCATTGTTTCCCAAATGCCAGGAGCATGAGAGGTGGCTGATGTCATTTCTGTAAGCCAAAGGAACAGTCACAAGATATTCTGCTGAGAGCAAGATAAAAACTTGTTTATGGAATGGAACGTGTTTATGACATCTAATAACTTCACATTAGGAGATAAGAACCTGTTTAAAGACGTCTACTTGCTTGAGAAGTTAGAAATCTTTAAGTTTAGGGTAGATAAGAAGTTTTACCATTTCCCTCCCGCCCTATGGCGGCCGGCAAAAACCCTCACCTTTCCGGGTGAACACCATATGGCGTCCTTTTGGGCATGCGCAGTTTGTGCGCCTGCAGAGCCGCGCAGCGGTGCAATCTGTCACCGGCCGTGTACCTCAAACACGACCGATGACAGATCTGAGTACCGGCCCCGTTGACGGTACCATGTGACCTGCTGTGACCAATCACAGCAGGTCACATGACAGTTGTATACAATAGATGGCTTCATTCATTCATTTAAAACCCTCAATGAATCGATGTCATTCAGGTAAATGCTTGCTTATAGCAAAGTAATTCTTTGCTATAAGCAAATTGTGTAAAAAAAAAAAAAAAAAAATACTGATCACTTCCCCAAAGTAGTACAATGTTACTATGGTAACATTGTACTACTTTGGTCATAGTGAAATATGAAAAAAAAAATCTTAAAAAAAAGAAAAAAAAGGAATAAAAAATTTGAAATAATAAAAAAAAATTAAAGAAAAATTATATATATATATATTTTTTCATACTGTCACCAGTCAGTGTCCCTGATCACCGCCATGCCAGTTATATGATGACGCTGTACTGCACTGGTGACAGTATGTAAAAAAAAAAAAAGTGAAAATTATTTTTTTTTTTTTCATTTTCCAAAAAAATATGACAAACAAAATACTTCAAAAAACTCGCCATGCCTCTTATGAAGTATGTCGGACTGTCTACTTTACAAAAAGGGGTCATTTGGGGGATATCTGTACTGTTCTGACATTCTTGGACCTCAAGAAATTAGATTGGCTGCCAGTACTTCAGGACTGTTCAATTTTCAGATCTATCCCATAGTTTGTGAACTCTATAACTTTCCTACAAACTAAAAAAATACATCCTAATTTGGGTTATTTTCACCAAAGACATGTAGCAGAATACATCTTGGCCTAAATTTATGAACAATTATTTATTTGCAAACTTTTATAACAGAAACAAAGAAAAACGTGTGGGTTTTTTTTCAAAATTTTCTGTCTTTTTTTGTTAAATTAGCAAAAAATAAAAACCCCAGTGGTGATTAAATACCACCAAAAGAAAGCTCTAGTTGTGTGAAGAAAATGATAAAATTTTAGTTTGGGTACAATGTTGTATGACCGCGCATTTGTCATTCAAAGTGTGAGAGCGCTGAAACCTGAAAACTGGCCTGGGCAGGAAGGGGGTAAAAGTGCCCGGTATGGAAGAGGTTAAGATAGATAAGAAGCAAAAGTGTGACTTTTCAGATAACGAATATGGTGGCTCAGCATGACTTTGTTATCCCCCGCGGGACCTTTCTGCTAGCTCCTCCTGTGGTGGGTGTGGTGCCTGCCCATTATTGGAAAGCTTCCAAAAAAATGGTTTAAAAGCCGGAAGTCCAAGCGAGATCGATTAGTGGAAGCCCCCTAGTTGCTAGGGGACACTGATGCTGATATTTTTGCCAAGGCTATATGGGCTCATCGATTGGTCACGCTTACGGCTTCCCCGTGACCCCCAGGCAGTTTGGTTCCGATGGGATCTGTTCCTTCCAGCATAGCTTTGGTAATGTATTCTATGCTGTGATGCTGTCAAATGATGTGTCTACTTCATGCTATAATGCTCACATTATTATTGGTGTGTGCGTTGACTCATCTGGTTCTTAGTTTAAGTCCCAGTGCCGATGGTCAGCAGGACAAATTGAAAGATCCATCTAATTCTTCTTCTGCAGGTACATGGCTACTTCTGGTTTAGACAGGAAACTAACGATCTTTGACCTTCGAACTTACAAGCCTCTGACATCCTTCGGCATACCCTTGGGGGCAGGGAATCTATGCCACAGCCAGAGGGGTCTGCTGGCCGCATCAACTGGCAATGTTGTACAGGTAGTATAAGTTATTTATTATAACTCACATTATTGTGGTTCAGAATAAAGAGTAGAGCAAACTACAGCTCTGCTGTCTGCACTGCTTTATTGACCAAACCTGTGTATCTCAACACTTGCTCGGGATTTGGCCTACTGGTTCTCGCTTTGTCCTCCCACCATGCAGCGTTGGATGGAAAAAGGTTCATGTCATTCTACCTCTAGAGGAAACAACCTCTCCGCCAAGCTGGTGCCCCAGAAGAATGGATAATAGAACGATCCCTCCTGGATCGACCTCAATAGTAGTGGACAGGATGCATAGTTATTCCCATTTGACACATATAGGTAACAAAACACTTTGGGTTGATTACTGAAAATATACTGTGCACTTCAAGGGCATTTGCTCCAGAGCTTAGTAAATGAGGTAAAGCTTCATTTTGCAAAAAAATACCCAATCGCATGCAAGAAAAAAAAAAAAAGCAGCATTTTTGTTTGCCCATGATTGGATGATGGAAGTCAGCAGAGCTTCTCCTCGTTTTCCTAAGCTCTCCTCTCACAGTAGCAACTGCACTTGCAAAGTGCACAGTCTGCTTTAGTAAATCAACCCCATTGTCTAGTAAGATGTATTTCCAGACAATCGGTGTATGTATAAGATGGCTAAAGACCACATTTCTTGTTGATATTTCTAATATGTAAAATTAATTGCTGCTTTGTAAATCATGGGCTACATTGGTTGCTGTCTTATTTTTATTTGTTTATTCCTCCCCTTTCTTTTTATTTTTTGTTTTGAAAAAAGAAAACTCTAATAAATCTTTTGTAATAAAAACCCTATCTGATGAAAAAAACCTGTGTGTCTTCAGAGTTACAGACATGTAATCTGCTCTCTATTTAGGTATATAAGGACACTCACATTACTGAGCCCAAAACTCCGTACATGTGTCTTTCCTTAAAAGCACCAATCCATGGGCTCCAGTTCTGTCCCTATGAGGATGTCCTGGGAATCGGTCATGGTGGAGGCTTCACCAGTATGATTATACCAGGTCAGTGACATCTCCTGCTGTATTGTGCAAAAAGAATTCCAGGTATGGATATTTTATAAATCGTTACATTGCTCCAGCCTGAGCCAGTGTTACCATGCATATACCATATGCGGCCGATGCCCCTGGAAGCGGAGATCACTGGAGACGCGGTGTCTACCGATTTCCATCTTCGGAAATCGGTAGACACCGCGTCTCCAGTGATCTCCGCTTGCTTCTGGGTTCCCATGGTAAGCAGCTACCCTGTTGCGTGGTGAACACAGGAGATCGCCCTTCAATGAATGCAAAGTGTTCTCTGATAGAATGAGGTGAAAAGATGGGGTGGTGATGTCACACTCTCCACATCCTACAATCAGAGACTGCTTTGATTTTTTTTTTTTTTTTGAAAATGCAAAGCATTCTCTGAATGGCACCCATGTCGAGCGGCCGACCTCCTATGTTCAGGATGCAGAATGGCAGTTGCTTGGTGTAGGACCCTGAAGCAAGTAGAGATCTCTGGGGTAGTGGTGTCTACTTCAGGGAATTCCAGCTTCAAGGGGCATTAGCAAGGTTACATAGTTTGTCTGACTGAAAAAAGACAAAAGTCCATCCAGTTCAACCATTAAAAAAAAAAAAAAAAAAAAGTTATAATCCTGTACCCACAGTTGATCCAGAGGAAGGTAAAAAAAAAACCCAGCAAAGCATGATCCAATTTGCTCCTGCAGGGGAAAATATTCCTTCCTGATCCCCCGAGAGGCAATCGGATATTCCCTGGATCAGGTATGGTATATTATTATTATTATTATTTATACAGGATTTATATAGCACCAACAGTTTGCTCAGCGCTTTACAATATAAAGGGAGACGAGGGTTAGGAGGGCCCTGCTCTTTGGAGCTTACAATGTAAGATCAATAGGTACAATGGTCCAAGTTAAACCAATGTAACTATCAATATCCATACCTGGAATTCATCTTTAATGTATCAATTCTCTTCTTCCTATCTGCATCCTCTTGTTCCTTCTCTGTATTGTGTCCTTCAAAGACCTCCCCATCATGACCTGTAATCCCACTTCCATTTTCTCCATCAGGGGCTGGTGAGGCCAACTTTGATGGTCTGGAATGCAACCCATATGAATCCAAGAAGCAGAGGCAGGAATGGGAGGTCAAAGCTTTGCTTGAAAAGGTAACACAGTTAAATAGTAAAACTTTAATATTAAGGGGTCCATTTAAAGTGCAGCAGTGTGGCTATACCGTGACCCCACTGCTGCTTCTCACGTGTGCATTGGGCTCTGCTGATTTCAGAAGTCTGAAACTGGCAGAATGCAATCAAATGAATGGGAGTAGAGACAGAGAAAAAGCAATGATGTACCGGACCTGCATTTTAGGAATGGACTACAAACATAGGCCACGGCAAAAAGAAATATTCTAACTTATAATGGTGTCTGTTCTCTGTTCTAAATCGGACTCTTTCATACAGGTGGACTCTGCCAAGCGGATCCGCCTGCTCAGTGGGCAATCTGTCCGCTGGTCCCCGATAAACAGGCAGATGACAGGTCCATGTCCGCTCTGCTTATGCAGAGTTGTCATGGACTGCCTGCTGTCCTCTATGGGTGGATGGATGTAAATGGACTGCCTGTCCGTTTACATCCAACTATCATCCGATCTGCTAGACCAGGGGTCTTTAAACTGTTTAAAGCGGAGCTGCACCCAAAAGGGGAAGTTTCGCTTTAAGGACTGCTCCCCTGCTCCCCATTAACGATTGGCACCTTTTGGGAGGCTGGGGGGAGCGGGTAACCGAATTTGACAGGTACCCGCTCCCACTTCAGGTCCGATCGCCTAGGCAATCGGAAGAGGAAGGTGTCCTCCCTCCCTGTAGTCTTTTGGGACATGTGACAGGTCCCAGAAGACTACAGGACCATTCATGAAGCGCAGCGCTACTCGTGCATGTGCAGTGGGTACCCGGCTGCGAAGCCACAAGCTGTAACAGCCCACACTGAAGATGCTGGCCTCCTGGAATACAGGACGGCCGGTGAAACGGGCTGCAGGGACACACCACGGGACCGAGGGACAGGTAAGTGGCTGTTTTTTAAAAGTCAGCTACAGTTTTTGTAGCTGCTGACTTTTAATTTTTGACAGGTGAGTGGAGCTCCACTTTAAGCAAAGGGCCAGTTTACTGTCCTTCAGGCTTTAGGGGGGCCAAACTGTGGTCAGTGGGAGCCAAAAATGCCCCAGTATTAGTGTCACACCATTTGCTGTAACGGGAGGAATTGTTGCTATCAGTGAGAAGAATAGTACCCCATTGATGGTGTCAGTAGGGGCAATGGAGCTCTAATATTGGTGTCAGTCGGTAGAATAGTGCCCCAAGGGCCAGACCTTAGGGAACAGCAGAACTGGAAGCCAATCAGATGAGCTCATCAGTCTGCTGCTACTCTTTCACTGTCCATTTAGCAGGCTGAAAGCCAGGAGATGACACCCCTGTATTCCTTAGCTGGTGTGATCCTCCTGTGTTTGCTGTGCAGTGTATTAGGATAAAGGAGAACCACATTGTTATCTAGACGTGTATTATTTTATTCTTTACAAGTATTCATATAGCAGCACTTTACATCTCTACATACCTATTAGTCTCTGCCTCAAAGTTCTTACAATCTAATGTCCTTACCTCACATGCATACATGTACATACTAGTGCCAGTTCACACAGCAGCTAAATAACCTGCCAGCATGATGGAATGTGGGAGGAAACTGGAGTATCCAGACTAAATTCACACGACTTCAGAGAGAGCATGCAGACTCCATGCAGATTGTCTCCTGGTTGGGATTGGAATCAAGTGTTGCAGGCGCTAGTGCTAGCCACTAAGCCACTGTCCAGAAATGTGAACTACTGTTAGTATAACTGTCAGAAATCTATGTTTATATTGTTTTCCAATAATCCCCTGCACAGTAGACCAAATTGGGGGACTGTGTGCTATGGACCTGCTGGGCTGCATTTCATTGTGCAGTCTATCAGTCTAACATGTTTTCAGGCACTGAGAGCTGAAGGAGGTGCAATAAAAGGTAGAGTAACAAGAGCAGTCACTTTCATACTTGAGGCTAAGTGAGAAAATAGTAAAATCTGGTATAGTAGACACAAGTACTGCTGTCTATTTTAGTTCTTGTCTTGTACCCCATAGATCCAGCCTGAGCTCATCACGTTGGACCCCACTCAGTTGGGAGAGGTTGACACCATCACCATGGAGCAGAAACGCAAAGAGCAAGTGGAGAGATTGGTAATTGTAACCCGTTTTATTATTATTATGCTTTCTTCATTGTCCTTCACCATTTCCACATGTATTTTTTCTATGTATTATAGCATTGTCACAATCCACAATGCTTTACAGAGAACATTTAAAGGGTTGGCCAATCCAAGAGTAATATTTTGGTCACAGTCTGGTGGGTGGAGTCAGCACCTGGCTTTCCTTTATGTCTTGAATACTTCCAACATGACCCCGCTGTCATAATCTCGGATTCTTTTCTGTTCATCTGAGATTTTTTTTTCAACCACCTTTGTGTTCCAGCTCCATCTCTTACATTTGTCTTAATATAAAATAAATATAAAATCCAGCAGGGATGGCGGGAGCGACTTTTAATAGGCACAGGAGGTGAGCAAACACAGGAATTTAGAGCAGAGATCTACAGGGACTAGGCTAGGTTTACCCTCATGCGGTGCAGTACACACCGCATTCCTGTGTAAATCACATGTGAATTGTGTGCGGTGCAATTTGAGCCATACATTATGTTCGGCTCAGATTGCACCGCGTCCGCACCAAAAAAGGTGCAGGTCCCTTTTTTGGGTCCGCACTAAAATTGGATCGCATGGGTATTCACACCTATGCGATCCAATTCTGAACATCACACCGTTTTGCGGACCGCTTTCAGGGTGTTGTTAACATGCACACCCGCATCAGTTTGCATGAACGGGGTGCGATTCTGATGTGGTGCGGAATTCGCACAGAAAACGTTGCAAATTCCACACTGCATTAGTGTGATCCCGGGCCTAAACTGAAAAACTACCAACACTCAGCGCTACACTTGTTGCTTGTTACAAGGGATGATCTTAACCACTTGCCCTCCAGAGGATTTACCACCCTTCCTGACCAGGCCATGTTTTGCGTTACTTTAACTGACAATTGCGCGGTCATGCAACGCTGCACTCAAATGAAATTTACTTCCCTTTTTTCCCATGAATAGAGCTTTCTTTCGGTGGTATTTGATCGCCTGTGCAGTTTTTATTTTTTGCGCTATAGAGGCCGACACTTTGTATAAAAAGAAAAAAAAAATACTTTTGGCTTTTTGCTATTAAACATGTCCAGTAAAAAATCACATTTTGTCATAAATTTAGGCCAAAATATATTTTGCTCCATGTCTTTGCTAAAAAAAATCCCAATACATGTAAATTAATTGGTTTACGTGAAAGTTATAGCGTTTACAAATGACTGTATATATACTGGGAATTTTTTATTTTTTTTTTTATTATTATTTTTACTAGTATTGGCAGCAATCAGACTTATTGTGGGACTGTGACAGGCATTCTGACACTGGAGGGAACTAACTTGGTGTCACTGACATCCCCAGTGACACCAATACGGTGATCAGTGCTAAAAAAAAAGCACAGTTAACATGAGAGGTGATCAAAGGGTTAACTATATGTAGGTAGTAGATAAAATAAAGTGCAGCGCTAAAACTAGGTACTAAAGCAACAAGATCAATCAAATATTAAAATATATATAGTTCATAAGTGACTGTTAGTGCAAAAAAAGGAATCCTGCGATCCTCTAAGATTCAGTGCTTGAGCGATCAGGTGTGGGAGAAATGCGCACTCACCGGAACGCATAATAAACTGCGCATTGATTTATAAAATCCTGATGTCATCAAGGTCATCCAAATCTGGGCAGGAATAGGGTTAAATCCCTCACTTGATAGGTGTGGATCCTAGGGCTTCTGAAGTAAACCGGGTGCCAGAGATCCCTTTGAAGGGATGGACGGGTCAGCTCACCAGGTGTATAGGGGCTCCCTCTCTGGAGACTGGATACTGGGTTATCGTAAAGTCCTTTTCTTGGGGTTATTAGGGAGACGGGATGAGATATTCAGAGACGAGCACATTATCCTTCCCTTATACAGGAGAACCGGGCATCCTCCCCCCTGGCCCGGTGCTGTACAGGAAGAAGAGGGGTCCTTGTATAGGTGTCTGCCCTCTGCCTGCCGGCTTTGGTGTGAGCACGGTGGGACGGGGGCACTTTAAACTTTAAAAGAAAAAATGTATTTAATATTTGTTTTTTTAATTTTTGCACTGTTTCTTTTACAAAAAATTCTAATCGTTTTTATTCTTATCACAAGAAATGCATGCATCCCTTGTGATAAAAATAAATAGTGACAGGTCCTCCTTATGGAGATATATGTGGTCAATAAGTCCCCACATCTCTCCTCTGCAATGTAAAGCATTAGATCAAAAAAAGCATCGATCTAGTTCTTTAAGAAAAAAAAAAATGGCCGGAACCAAAAGTGACATCGCTCCGCTCCTACAAAGGCATAGAGATGTGTGGCGGCAATCTTTCCTTCTCTCATCTCTATGCCCAATGCCGGGATCGATGGTTTCTTGGGTAAGACTGAACGGACAGGCGGCTTTGAGGGGCGGGGGGGGGGGTTTTTTTTACACCTGTATCGGTGCTTTTTTTTTTTTCACTTCGGCCGACAGCCAAAAGGGGTGTTTTCGGCCGAAACGTTTCGGCAACTGGATTTTTGGTGCATCCCTATTTTTTTCACTACATGTAGGGGAACAAATAAACTAGAAATAAGCATTTTAGTAGAATTTATCTCTGCTGGCAAATCACTCCCAAAAAGACAACAAAAGTGTTTTTTGGGGTTTTTTTTCTGCTTCTAGAAGCTGAAGCTTCAAAAACACTTCTAGCCTACAATAGTGTGCATGGGAACACTGCTTCTAGGGGCAGAAAACAAAATGCTCAAAACTACCTGCTAGGACAGGGGTGGGCAAACTTTTTGACTTGAGGGCCGCAATGGGTTCTTATATTGGACCCGGGGGCCGGACCAAGAGTAGATGAATGATGTGTAAGTGTCATCCATAGTAAGTATAGTAATATTCCCCCATAGTAATTAATCCCCCATATAGTAATTCATCCCCCATATAGTAATTCATCCCCATAGTAATTCATCCCCCATATAGTAATTCATCCCCCATAGTAATTCATCCCCCATAGTAATTCATCCCCCATATAGTAATTCATCCCCCCTATAGTAATTCATCCCCCCTATAGTAATCCATCCCCCCTATAGTAATCCATCCCCCCTATAGTAATCCATCCCCCCTATAGTAATCCATCCCCCCTATAGTAATCCATCCCCCATAGTAATCCACCCCCCCTATAGTAATTCATCC